TGGATCTGGATTGCAATCACTTGCTGCGTGACTGGCTCTAGGAGCTGGAGAGCAAAGCTGAAGAAAAGCCAGACGAAGGAGCACCAGATCCAGAGAAAAGAACCCAGCTCCCATTGGAGGGGTCTGCTGCTTGGTCATGGAACTTGAGTCTGCAGACACAGGTTAAGGCTGAGGCCATGAAGTGTGAGCTCAGAAAAAGCAGATTGTCTCTCTCGCTTTCAGTCGTCTCAGTGCCTAGCATAGTGCCTGGTCCCATAGAGGTGCTTATTCAACTACTGGTGGAAATTATTAAGAATCAAATTGCTGGGAGAGAATAGGGAGGCAGGTCTAGAGGTGATTTCTGGAAAGAATAGTATTAAGTGCATATGAACCTCCAGTAGTGAACATTTCCTGAGAAGCCTAAAGCACATCCACACTTATGATTAGCACTCTGAGAGAAGCCTATGTAAGGAGCTCGCTTGACGCACACCAGATACCATGCCTGGCACCTTGTAAAAAGCCTACTGTGTGTTGGGCATCATGCCTAGTATAACAATCCTAATGTGCACCAGGCTCTGTGGCTAGTCCTCTCCAAGAGAGGTTTGCTCTGTGTGAACCAGGTATTGTTCTCAGTACCCTCTAAAAACCTACTGTGTTCCAATTGTATTCATACATAAAAACTACTATGTACCAAGCATTCCATCAAACATTCTATGAGAAGTTTTCTCTGCATGGAACACTAGGCATCCTGTGAGAAGCCTAATGTGTATCAGTACTGTGCTCCATACCATGTGGGAAGCCTAGGATTCTAGGTACTGTGCTCTTAAATAAGTCTATTATGTGCCAGACATCCCATTGAAACCCCTACTATGTGCATGTCAATATGCCTAGCACTTATGAGGTGTCTACTGTGTCCTAAGCATTGTCTCTGGTACCTTGTGAAAAAACTCAGTACTGTGCTCAGCACCCTGAAAGAAGCCTACAATGTTCTGGGCACTGTGGAATCCTCTAGAAGCTGCTGTTTCCCAGGCACTATGCTCAACACTCTGTAAGAAGTATGCTGGGTGCTGGGTACTCATGCTTAGACATCTGAGATAAGCATACTATGGCCAACCATTCTGTGAGAAACCTACTATGCAACCAGCATATGGAAGTTATGACACAGGCAAGTTCTCAGATCACAAGGAATCTAGAAAAAGAAGGCTGGGCAGAGAGTCAGAGAAACAGTAAAAAAATAAAAAAATTTTTAAAAAGATGCACTTCCTGGCAGGGTCGAAAGCTTTCTATACCAGTAATGGCTCTTAGAGAGTCTCACCTTACTCAGAGAAAAGAAAACCCCCTTTTCCATGTGAGTAGAAAACAGAGAGGCAGCACTCACCACAGAGAGACCGGAAGTGGAAATAAAAGAATGAACCATGATGTCTAGGTCAGAAATTCCAAAGTATCTTGCTTCTGAGCTAGTCCAGAGAGTCCCTGAGCTGGGTTAGCTGGTATCTTAAATCCACAGAGACTTGTGACAGTAACAGAACAAGACAGAGGAACCACTGCCTTGTCCCTCAGCCCACTTCTGCTGCGGGGAAATTATATATACACAGGCAATGGAACACCTCTAGAAATGGGGAGATCAGAAATTTGGATAGGCCTTGAGCCTCTAGGAGCTGACTGGCTCTGCTGGTGATGGTCCTGATGCTCTTATGAAAAAAAGGAACAGCCAGGGATGCTTTTATTGTGAGCATGACAATGGCCAGGCCCATCCTAAAGACACTTCTGGGCCTCACACTTTCTTTTGTAAAATGGTGTCTCATGTGAGCCATGACTGTCTGCAAACTCTCTACACAATCATAGATGACCTTGAACTTCCGATCCTCCTGCCTCCATCTCCCAACTGATGGAACTAAAGGCATCTACACCATACCTGTTTTATGCGGTGATGAGGATCAAACCAAGGGCTTTGTGCTACACAAGTTTCCTACCAAGATACATCTTTAGCTCTGGACCTAGAACATTTTCTCTGGACCTGAGTCCAATTTAGTTTGAGTAGGTTCCAGTCAATAGCATCCATTTGTTTCAGCCTAGTGATAGGGTGAAATGACAGTACTCTTTAAATTTAAAACCCTTTCCTGAATGTATGTCTCCATCCTGAAAAGGAGATATATACAGGAATGCTCTCAATCACAGATAAGACACAAATGGACCAAAGAAGCAAATCCTATCCATGTCTGCTTTGGTGAACCAAGAGGTTTGGGGGGGGGGGTCACTTACAGAGCTTTACTGAGCTATTATTTCCAAAAATATGTGAGTAATTTACTTGTGCACCAATACCACCAAAAAAAGCCCACCTCATTGTGAGTGACATCTTACAAAATTTGAAACTCTGGAGTTCCCACCCCAGTCAATATCCAGTCTCCTAAATACTGTAGCACACCCAAGACAATGTCACAGGAAGAAGGGAGCAGGTAGAATCTCAGGCCAAGGGGCTGACCAACCCTCTTCGTTCTACAAGGTAAGGTTAATGGCCCTGATCTTGTGAGGTTTCCTGCTCTGATTTCAATATGGCAGCAGCTACATCATCTCCAGGGGAGTTGTGGGGAAAGCAGGTACCTGAATACAGAGGTCTGTGATCTCTTTCTAGCATGGTGGGCAGAGGACTATGTCCTGGCTGGGCTCATTTCCTGAAGGAAGGCTAGAGGGGACAATGGTGGTCACCCTGGAGCTGACCACAGCTTATCCTGAAAAACCCCTATTCTGCCTCTGGAAACTCTAACTGGTTTTTGGGTGTGTCAGATCAAAGTATCATTGTCCCTCCTGCTCTCTGAAGGGACTCTGCAGGGTAAGTCCCTTGATCTGACTAATCCCTATTTTCTTCCTTCAACAGATGGGAATAATGGTGTCACATTATTAGGAGTCACAGGAGTGGTATGAGGATTGACTTGACATTCCTCCGCCTGGGGCATAGTAAATGCTCAGGAATACGAGTAGAGCAAAGCCCTAGAAAGGTTAAGAGCATCCAGCCTCCACTCTCATGGCTGCTAGTAGCCCTATCCATCCCGAATATATCTTGAGTTGATGGCTGGCCTAAGGAATACACAATCTATCTGTCTGTGTCCATGCTAGTACTGAGCTGTCTTTATGACCATGGCTCTGTGAAATACTATGAAACAAGGTATTGTGATAACCCCATCATAGTATGCTTTTGCTGAGGGTTACTTCCACTGCCCATGGGTTTTTGAACTCTTATGTAGATTTTAAGACTGTTTTTGTTTTGTTTTTTGTTCTGTTTTGTTTTTACTATTTCTTTTAAAAATAGAGTTGAGATGTTAATGGAGATTGCATTGAACTTGTAGGTTGCTTTTCATAGGATGATCATGTTCACAGTATGTGATACTTCTGATCCACGGCCATAGAAAGCCTTTCGATCTTATAGTATCTTTCTCCATCTCTTCCCTTAGTATTTTAAGCTTTTCATTGTAGAGGCCCTTCATTTCTTTGGCTTCATTTGCTCCAAGTTATTTTGGCTGTTTTGAATGGGATGGTGTCCCTAAGTTCTTTCTCAGTATGTTCATCATTAGTATATAGAAATCCCACTGATTTTTAAATATTGACTTTATGCCCCATCACTTTGCTGTAAGTGTTTAAAATGTCTATGAGTTTTCAGGTTTAGTCTTTAGGATTCCTTATGTGTAGAATCATATCATCTGCAAGTTAAGATACTTTGACTTCTCCCTTTCCTGTTTGTATCTATCCCCTTATCACTTTCTTGTCTTATTGCTCTAGTTAAGTCTTCAAGCACTATCCTAACATAAGGCGAGAGCAGGAATAGATACCATTAGCTTAGTCCTGATCATAGTTAGAATGTTTTGACTTTTTTGTCTGTTTAGCATGAGACTGGCAATAGATTTGATATAGATAGCCTTTATGACATTAAAACCTTTCCTTCATCACAAGTCTCAAGAGTTTTTAAGTTGGGTTTTGTCAAAGGCATTTTCTACATCTGTTGAGACAACCCTAAGGCCATTTCTGTGATGAGTTACACTTATTTATTTACGTGTGTTGAACCATTCTTGCATTTCTGGGATAAAGCTACCTTGATCATGATGCATATTCTCTTTGATGTGTTCATGGATTTGTTTGCAAGCATTTTATTGTGAAACTTGTAACCATCTTCACCAGGAGGATTATTTCATGATTTTCTTTTTATGTGTGTCTCTATCTGGTTTTGAAAAATGCAATTATGAAGTGCAAAAGTAGTGAAATTAGAAACAAAATAGATTAAGTGCAGTAACACAAGACCGAAAGACAAATGCCACACCCACCATGGGTGGAGACTAGCGTGAACTCTTCAGATTGTGTGCTTAACTTGGACTATCTGGAGAATCTAGCCAAGTAGGAAAGAGTTAAAGGAGAAGAGATAGCATAATATAAGTGATAAGAAAACAAAGAGGGAATTCTGGGAGTGTAAAACTGAAGCAGGCATGGGGTGTGCATAGATAGAGGAATTGGGAGGGGGAGCTAAAAATGTATAAAAACTACAGTGAAACCTACAGGCCAAACTAGCAGCCCCGTAAACTCGGGGGAAATGGTTTTCTGACTCTCTTCAGTACCTTGGACAGTGACCTACCCATCAGCCTTATTCCTTTAAAAATCATCCTCATAGAAGCAAGAGGAGGGGGATAAGATAGGGGGTTTCCGGGTGGGGGTGGGGAGAATGGGGAAACAGGACAACATCTGAGATGTAAATAAAATATCCAATTAAAAATTAGTTTAAAAAAAAGAAAGGGATTGGCATGTGGGAAGCCTGGACCTTATTTCTCTCCTTGCTGAAGTTCCCCAACAAAGAAACACATCAACTCTGCTTGACAAAGGAGGAGGCAGTGAAGGAAGGATGCCAGTAGTGAGGAGGATTGTCCTGGACTACTCACTCTTTGTATTCTGAAAATCAGATGATGGGACACGGAAAGGAAAGATGCATGAGTTTGATTCCTGGCAGGTTACATGACTTTGCTTTGTCTCTTGCTGTGCAGGATCTCGGCTGAAGGTGTGGACATCGTTTTGGATTGCCTGTGTGGGGACAACACTGGCAAGGGGCTCAGTCTCCTCAAACCTCTGGGGACTTACATTTTATATGGTGAGTGTGTGCATCACAGGGCAAGATCAACAAGAGCAGAAAGTACCCCCCCATGCTTACCACGCTCTGCAGGATGAAAGACATTAATATACTGGGAATGAACTGGGCCAACATGGGAATTTTTAGTTCTTTAATACATTTATTATATTGATATAATTAATATTATTGTCATGAACTATAAAACTAACTTGTTTGTCTATTCCCCTATCATTTTTTAAATGTTTTGTTTTTGTTTTGTTTTGTTGTCATGGTCTCACTATTTACTCCATTATGGCCTTGCACTCATAATACCACTGCCTCAGCCTCTTGAGTGACAAGAATACAAGTGGAAGTCACCATTCCTGGCCACATCTACTATGCTCTTGAGTGTTCAGGAAAGTTATGAAAATTAGAAGCAAAATTTCTACAGCAAAATTAAATTAGCACCTGACCTTTCCTGCCCCCCCACACACATGCACACACACACACACACATACACACACACACTGATTTAAACACATTCCAAAAGATGTGTATAAAACCAGAGGCCATCTTCCAAAACAGAAAACTGAAGTATCTGATGTTTGAGACTCCTAAAACCTGTGTGCCAGGTTCTTGGACTAGAAATTGAGCCTTAATTTTGAGTATTACAGAAAGAAAAAAAAACATTAATTCTTTTTATAAAAGAGATATTTGAGAGTTATAAATATCTTATCATCATCAGATCATTATTGCAGAAAGCTGAGCTCATTAAGCAGGTGGGCAACATTCCTTTGCAGATATGTTCTGGTCATTTCTATCCTGACCACGTATTTCCTAAAAAGCAAATAATTGATTAATACTATTGATGAAAATCCACAAAGCCAGTTCTATTTTAAGGATAGTGTATGTGACTAATGGGCAGATAGACGATTTATTCATCTTTCCTCTCATTAGCCAAGAGTTGTATTTTGCCTCAATTCCATGATGACATTTGGGTGACCTTCAACTTGATGGTCTCACAATTATCCAAGCTGATTGGATACATTGATCAATTATACATTGATCACTTGGTTACAATGTAATAGAAGCCTGGTGCTATGAGCCCCTGAGAGTCATCACCCCATCGAAGATAAAAGAATGGTTTACTGATTGGGTAATAGTTTACCCAGACTCAGTAATCAATTTTAGAATATGCAATTTTTTAAAGTCTGTGACATTTCTCTAAAGAAAAACTTTCACTTCCAAACACCTATTGACAAGCAGAAAGTCCATGGAATGGTGGCAGTGCCATGGAATAGTCTCTATTCAACCTACCCCTTCCCAACTGAGAACCCTATAAGGAGGGCCATTTCTCCCTGAGCATCTCAGCTTACCTTTCCCAACTCCACCTCCATCTGTCATCTGAATGTCACCTGGCCCCATTGTTAACACTCACTTTCCAATACTCCTTTGTTCTAAAATTTTAGGTTTGGTGGTTTTTTGTTTTTTGTTTTTTTACCTCTCTGCCTGGACCCCTTTGGAGCTGACAAATCATTGTCTCACATTCCCTGAACCTCTGAGCTTAGGTTCTCTTCTCTACCTTCTATGTACCTCCTTTTTCCTGTCCATCCATGTTTCCCCACTACCCCCTTCAATACCCAGCCCACATCAGAGTCATAAGCCTCTCATTTGCTAGAAAATCAAACTTAGATCTATATGGAATCTTCCTGCAGAAGTTCACTTATTTTCGATAGACAGAATGATGATGTTTTATGTTATTAAAACATTGGGTTAGTCACCTTTCGCCACCTGGCTGGTTTTCCAAAGGAATGAAACAGCCACCAAGAGAAATGTCCCTTCCTCTAAGAGTTGATGATACTTAGCCAAATGTTCTACTTTGTGCCCCACCCCAGCACCTCTACTTTTTCCAAGACAAAATGTGTTATTTTTTAAGCTTTTGTACACAAATGAAACAACTGCCACTCTGCTTGCACAACAAGATACCTTGACTTTCATGAACAATTACTTGACTTGGGAATCTTTTGTTTGCAGGTTCATCCAACATGGTAACTGGAGAGACCAAGAGTTTCTTTAGTTTTGCAAAGTCAGTAAGTATCCAAGCCTGTCTACTAGCTGGTACTGATTTGCATGTTGTGAATTTCATCTAAAGGCATTGGTGGTGGGTGGTGGCGGTGCATGCCTTTAATCCCAGCACTTGGGAGGCAGAAGCAGGCAGATCTTTGAGTTCGAGACCAGCCTGGACTATAGAAGGAGTTCCAGGACAATCAGAACTACACAGAGAAACCCTGTCTGAAAAATTAAGACACTGATCAATTGTTAGTCTGTCATCTGCATCATGCATTTCCCATAAATCCTTGTTCATTCCATGCTCACTGCATCCAGGCAGGCAGGATCAGGACTTGAGAAGTAATAGCGTCAATGGAACCTTGGAAAGCTTCCTTTTTATTTCAGTAGCAATTGGTTCAACTGTCTGTCAAAGGTGAACTTAGAGTTACTGCACTGTGGTTGCTCCCTGGAGTTGACAGTCATTTATTCTGACCATTTTCTGGTTGGGTTTCTGGGGGCACAGTAGATGTCTTTGTCCCCATCCTACTGTCTTGGAGATGGGACTAGGATATGATCTCTGAGTATATGATTACTTTGTCGGCCATTAAGAAGCACCCACCCTCACTGCACCTGCTCACATAGAAATCCCCATGCAGAGATATCTGTATGTGTTAGAATTAAGCTAACTTGGGGTTGTGCTTTTATTTTTACCCTACCCACTAGAGAAAGGAACTACTGTTTCTTACTAGTGTCAGCTTCTTTCCCTGTGCTTCCCATCTCTGATGCAACCAATGCACCATATAAGTGTTGTGAGCATTCCTTCCCTGGAGAAATGTAAACAACATTCCCCTCCTCATCAGGTCCTGACCACAAAGCAAAGTATGATTCTGCCAGAGTTCACCGCAAGGAGCCACTGAGATTATTGCCTTTACCCAGGGAGGATGGGTAAGGAGTTATTGGCGAGAATGTAGGTGACCCTAAAGCAACTGCACTGCGAACTGCATACCCACAGTAGGTGATGGCTTTTCCATAGCTGAATAAATGGAAGCCTTCCTTTAACCTTCCCCAGCTTGTGTTCTAGGGCCTCCTGAGACTGCTAAGCCACATGCAACTAGGGCAGAATCGCTTTACAAGTGGCTGGAAGGAGCATCTGGAATCAGGTGCGGGTCTAATGATCCTCTCCACCGTCTCCTTCTCTGAGGGGATGTCAACAATCAACAAGCCTACTCGTGCACAGGCACAGACACTCTGGTGAAGATGGCAGCTGTTTTGCTCGGAGAGCCATATTCTGTAACAATAAGCATCACTACACAGGCCTTTTCTGAGCATCTACTGTGGGTAGCATTTGAAGACACCAAGGTCTCACAGTGGATGAGATAGGGGCATGCAGAACCCTTGTGTCTCTACACTCTATTAAGCAGACAGACCCAATAATAAAGAAAAGTATTAATAACCTAATTGTGAGCGTCTAACCAACCTCAAAGGGGAATAGAACAGGATTCTGGTATGGAAGAAAGCAAGATAGAATGGACGCATTGTGAATAAGGTAGTCAAAGAGCCAGGGAAAGGACATTAAAATTTGCTTTTTGTATATCATGATGATTTATATTGGTTATATTTAGATATTTTTCCCATCTCAGATAACTCAATCTAGAAACTCCCCAAATACAGGCTTAGAAATTTGTCTCCAAGATGTTTTTGGAGGCTGTCAAGTTGACAGTATTAAACATGCCAGGACTATTTATATGTTCTTTATGTGACACCGACTGCTCAAATTTTACCCTCACACATCTGCTGAATCAGGAAATGGCAATATTCCCTCTATATGTGAGATCAAAATTTAAAGGACTGCTTTTTGCATTTTTTGCATAAGGGATTTAATAAAAGTGTAGGTCAAGAATCATTTGAATTCCAGGGCTCATAGGAGAAAGCCTGTCCCTGAAGACGGCTCTGTAGCACTCCTGGCTGTTTTGTTGCTGTGGATACAATTTGCTTGATGCCGAAAGACTTCTCTGTGGAATCATGCTGGTCCCAAATTATATACGACTAACTGTAAGAAGTGTTTTCCCCTCTTCTCACCCGTAATGCCCAATCTCAACACACAGTGCTAATGAAATAATTACAGTGTGCCCGTGCTTGGGGAAGGTATTTATAACAGCGCAGCCTGGATAGAAACTCAGGCTCCTCTTCCCCAAATGAGTACCATTACGCTCTGGAGCTGAAGGTCATGAATAAAGGCCATTCTCTATCAGAGGCCTGGTCTGAGCAGGCTGATTGGTTAGAAGTAAATTGAAGAGAAGATTTTTCTGAGAAGCGCAATGATGGCTTTGCTCCAGGAAAAAAAAAGATCTCTGCAATCAAGAAAGGCACATTTAGAATCGGATAGCGAGTTCTAACTCTGCTGTCTTAATTATCTTCCATCTTCAGACTTCAGCAGAATGAATACTTCGTGCTTTGTCAGATTGGCCATTCACTCTTGGGCCATTCTAAGGATGCTTCTTCCAGATGAAGTTAACATTCAGAGGGCAAGCTCTTGCCCAGTAAATCTAAAACATGGCTTTCTGATTAAGATGATAATTAAATCTGCTTATGTTCATGGTATGTGCGGTGTATACACCCTGCTGCCATGGCATGCATCTTGTATGGGCACACTTAGGTTACACGACAACCTCCTTCTCCCCAAGGTATGGTAAGAAAGCTGAACAGAGAGGTTAGGTAGGTTGCCTAGAGATACACATCTATCAAATGACACTCAACGCTATAAATTTAAAAAAAAAAGATTTTGAGTACATTAGTGTGTTTGTGTGTGTGTGTGTGTATTGTGTCTGTGTGCATGTGTGTACACCTGGCATGATGGCATGCCTGAAGAAGTCAGAGGACAACTTGCAGAATTCAGTTCCCTGCTTCCACCATGTAGGTCCCAAGGATCCAGGTTGTCAGGTCTGGTGGCAAGCACTTTTGCCAACTGAGCCATCTCTAGAGCTCTTAGTCACAGCTGAGCAGTAACTGCAGCGCCATCAGGCATTGCATGACATGCACTGAGGTTCTACCAATGGACAGATTTCAAGCTTAATCATGGGACCCAGGATTTTGAACTCCTAGGTTGGGACACTTCAGAGAGAGCCACTGTAGGGAGGACAGTTTGACATCAAACATAAAGCTCTCTGCAGGTGCTGCCATATCTAGTTTTTCGAGGTGCTGTTGATCAAAAACAGAGTTTCATGCATGCCAGGTATGCACTGTACCCACTGAGCTATATCCACAGCCACAGACGTGGAATTCTTCACTGAGGCACATTTAACAGAGCTGCGAGTGGAACAACTCAAGAAGGACTGTTCTTTTGACCACTAACTTCTTACCGAGTATCAGAGGTTGAACCTACATGACAGCCATCTATGTAGTCCCAACCCCCAGCTTTATCACCCCATGCAATGCTGTCCTAACTTACCTTTCCTTTCTACCTACCTGCCCCATTATTTACCCCCAACTCACTCTATTAAAGTGGAGAGGGAAGCTCTTGCACTCAGAGTGGTTACCCACCCCATGGCCTCAATACTTTATCACTCTGTAAACTTCTCTGTGTTACGACTCTTTTATCAGCCCCACAACCATTCCCAGAGCCAAAGGCATCACCTTGTACCCTCCTGGAAGACACCAGTGTATCCCCTCATTCGAGTCAGCTGAGAAAGACAAAGTTCAGAGAAGAATGAGGAGTGAGGTATATACATCTAGGATCAACTCTAGAGTCAATGGTTTTACTCACACGCTTACTATTAGCAATCTGTGGCCTCAAATAGACTGAGGAACCTAATCCAAATGAATGGGGGCAAAGAGAGCTTCAGAATTTGGACTGATGGAGGGGGTTCTTATTTGCATGTAAGTCATAAAATATTGAGTCTTTTAACATGTATGTGTGTGTATCTGTATGTCTGTGTGTGTGTGTGTGTGTGTGTGTGCCTGTGTGTGTTAAGACAGGTCTGTTGTAGCCCAGACAGTTATAAAACTCATTATTTAGTTGACTATAATCTTGGACTCCTGATCCTCTTGCCTCTACCTCCTAAATTCTGGGATGACAAGCATGTACCTTCATACTGCCCATTCTATGTGATTCTGGGATTTGAACCCAGAATTTTGTGTGTGGTAAGCAAGCACTGTCCCAACTGAGCTACATTCCCAGTGTAGACAGTATTTTAGCTTACCTTCATGGTGTCATGTTAGCACTCAAAAGGTTTCTCTCTTTCTCTCTCTCTCTCTCTCTCTCTCTCTCTCTCTCTCTCCCTCTCTCTCTCTCTCTCTCTCTCCCTCCCCTCCCTCCCTCTCTCTTTCCCTCCCCCCCCTCTCTCATTCCCTCCCTGCCTCCATCCCTCCTTTCCTCTATTTTTCCCTCCTTTCCTCCCTCCAAGCTAGATCCCTTTCATACTATTTCTGTCTAGTATATCCTGTGTGTCAACTGCAGTGGTTTCAGAAATAGATGCCTAAAAGATATATCACCAAGATGGCTTGCTGATCAACTCCACTCTACCCAGTTTCCAACTTTGCTTCCCTGAGGTAGATGATGTCCTCGTGTCATAGGTGACATTGCATGACGTAACCCCATCTTGAAACGTTGTAACCTAGAACCTTCTCTCACTGCAGTGGTGGCAGGTGGAGAAAGTGAACCCCATCAAGCTGTATGAAGAAAACAAAGTCATCGCGGGATTCTCGCTTCTCAACCTGCTCTTCAAACAGGGCCGCTCAGGCCTCATTCGAGGGGTAGTAGAGAAGCTCATAGGGCTGTACAACCAGAAGAAGATCAAGCCTGTGGTGGATTCGTTATGGGCCCTGGAGGAGGTAAGCAAGCAACCTTTTGGGTTTGTTTCTAGGAGCTTTGAGCATCGAAGGCAATCTTTTTTACAACCTTTTTTTCCCCTCCAGATTTGTTTGAAACAAAAGTCCTAAAGTAGATGGGTCCAACCTCTGATGTCACAGTTCAGCCCTGTTCACACTCAAGAAACACACAGTTGAGCAACAAGAAAATAATCACACACGCCCCCAAAATCTCACATCATTTTAAGTGAGCTCGTGGTTTTTCTGTTGGACTATGTTCATAACTATCCTTAGCCACATGGGGCCCACAGGTTTGGCACATCTGGATCGAGTGTAAGGACCATTTCAAGTTCCCAGGAGATTTCCAAACCATGCGGCTCTAGCATTTATACACGAACCCTTTCTTTTCAGATAAGACACCAAATGTGAATGGATACTCCCAATTCGCCTTGATTATAGAAGGGTGTGCTTATTGTTAGAATGTCATACCTATTATGACTCTATAGATACAGACGAGGTCAAGCTCAAAGTCGCTCACAAATGGGAATGATTTATATGCTGACACTGGATATGTTTTATGTTCTGTTGAGATATTGTCAGTGGCCATAGTGGACACTCATTCTCCTGGGTCTGGTGTTGGACTGACTTTGGAGTTTTGTTGCTGCTGGTTGCTGATGATGGTGATGGATCTGCCAGGTTCTAGTATTTGAACACATTCTTGAACCATGAACAAACTAACCTTCAAGGATGCTAAAGCAGGAACTGGTTGGATTGGTTCAGATGGTACTCAAGGAGGAAGGCAGTCTTCAAGTCTAGAAATCCTTCAGGATAAGAGAAGGGTGGGATATATAGGAAGTTAGCCATGAAAGTTCTTTATGAGAACAGGTGAAGCATGTGGCCTGGGTCTTGGGTGACATGTCAAATCTCCCTCTGTCATGAGGTCTAGAAAAATGCTTAAGGTGGCATGCGCCATGTTGTTTGTTTCTTTTTCATTGTTTTCATGAAGGAGGTGCCTTAGGGAACAAATATTTGACAAATGTGTGTGTTTGTGTATGTGGGACTTGTGCAAGTTCATGCACACATTTTTTTGTTTTGGTTTTTTGAGACAGGGTTTCTCTGTATAGCCCTGGCTGTCCTGGAACTCACTCTGTAGACAAGGCTGGCCTCAAACTCAGAAATCCACCTGCCTCTGCCTCCCAAGTGCTGGGATTAAAGGTGTGCGCCACCACTGCCCGACCATGCACACATTTATGATACACTCACCTATGTGTGCAAATATGAAAGCCAGACATGAAAATTGAGTGTTTTCCTCAATCACTCTCCACTTTATATTTTGAGACAGTCGTCCACTGAACCTGGAGCTTGCCATTTAAGCTAGACTAATGGCCAGCGTGTTCCCCAGATCTGCTAACTTCCCATCACCCAAATCCAGTTCTGGGTTAACAGATGGATACTATAATGACAAACTTCTATATGGATGCTGGAGGTCTTAACTCAGGTCTGCATGCTGGCACAGCAGCCATGTAACCTACTAAGCCATTTTCTCAGCCCTGGACCAAGTGCTTTGAAACTTTGGAGAGTCGCAGACACCTTTGCAACCTAAGTTGCAAACACTAAGGTCTGTGGATCAGAAGTGTGTGTGTGTGTGTGTGCGTGTGTGTGTGTGTGTGTAAAGGTGTTGCTATTTGCCTGATAGATTTGAGTGAGGGACAATCATGCCATCAGATTACCTGGTCTGAGACCAGTGAACTCAAACTATACCCATATATGTCATTCTAATACTGAGGTATAATGGGTAGCCTTTAAAAAAGAACGACTACCCAAAGGCCTTGTTTGTTGTAATAACTGAAATAAATATTCAGTACAGAACATTCTTAAATCAGCCCAGCAAAAGTAGAAAACAAAGGGCACATCCACATTCCAGAGAAGAATAATGCAGTTAATGTTCCGGCTTCCTTCCTTTTTGTCTTTTATCTATTGCAGATGCTTATTGTGATTCAATTTATTCCTGAAGTAAATCAAACAATAATGTATTCTTTGTCCTGTGTAATTGCCAGAATGGTTAGCCTCTTGTCATCGTTTTATTGAAAATCTTTTCAGTTTAATGAATCAGATATCTGTACAGTATTCAGTGTGGTATGCCAGAACCAGATATCTGTACAATGTTCAGAGTGGCATGCCAGAGAAAGAGAGGAATAATCAGGGTCAACTCACATCCACATGACACAGAAAGTCTTAGGTTTAGACCTATTGTCCAAAGTGACCCAGCAAATCTGGTAGCCTGTGAGGGTTAAGATCTGAGAGGTGGTCCAGATGGCCCCAGAAGTTCTCCTAGTGTTTGACACTATCCATTGCTCACAGCGATAATAGAGTCTTTAAATACCTACTGAGTAATTAGTGTGTGTTTGATTTGGGGGAGACATTGAAGATACAGTGAAGAATAGGGAGATAATATCCCTGGGCTTTGTAGAGTTTGTATTCAAAGAGGGTAAAGGAACAGAAAATAGTGAAGTAGACAAAGACACATGGAAAACATTGTTGCTTGTAATAAGCTCTTAGGGGGGGCACACTGGCTGAGTTCTCATCACCACGACCACCTAAGATGAAAGAGTCCCTTTGGTTCACAATGTCAGAAGCTTTCAATCTCTCATGGAGAGGAAGGCGCGGCAGACCGTGATCTCAACTCAGAGCATGGTGGTAGAAGAGTGTGGCATTGGCTAGTCATGAATGACAAGGAAGTAGAGAACAATGCTAGCACCAGGGAATCCCTGCTTAGTGACCTGTAACTACCAGACGAACCTAGCCTCCTAAAATAGCATCACTAACCTCCAAGTAGACATCTGAAATATGAGCATGTGGGGTGCATTTCAGATTCAAGCAATAACAGGAATAAATCATGTGGGGGGTATTTAGTTCCCATGTAGAAGTGATTCAAACTTTTGACATCATTGCCTTCCTAAGGACCTTTTCTAGACATTTTTCCCCTTTGTAAAATTTTAATGGTGTGTGTGTGGGGGGGGGGTGTTATCCATGTATATTTGTGCTTTAGTGCCCTTTCTCTGTTGGCGCAATATGATGGTCAACAGAAGTACCCTCTGTAGAATGGCTCAAATCAACGAGGGTCTATTGGAGTAGCATCCTTTCCGAAGTTGCTTGAAGGAGGTAAAAACCTTAACCAAAAGAATTTCAGAACAAGACACTCCCCAAAACAAAGAGATGAGAACATCTTGAATAGTTGCACAGGTGCAGAGAGAGCCTAGGAAGGGCAGCAAGGATGGGCCAGACAGAAACTTGCATTAATTCCCAGTACCTAGAGGGTCAAGGTAAGGAGGGGCTGCTTCCTGGTCCTCAAGGTGTGATCTGCTCAGCAGGAACTAGAGTTGTTAGTCAGGGTCCTGGATAATGATGCAATCCAGAAGAGCTTGGTGAAACTGAGGAATGGGAAAGACAAGAAGATGAACTGAGGGCCAGCAAGCCTGGTGGGCAGCTGTGATTCTGTGAGCAGGATCTAAGAAAAGACAACTGGACTTGCTATCACTTTCACACACACACACACACACACACACACACACACACACACACACAGTGCCTCAAAACCAGCCTAAATCTGTCTTCTCAAGATAAGTCAAGTCCTCCCCCACTGTATTCCTGACCATTTTCTTGAGCTCCACGAATCCACCCACCCTCCCCCACCCACACTTCAGCCGCTTCCAGTCTTCTGGTCTGTACCCTCCTACCACACCCTCCCCACCTTGAGCCTCTGAGGCAGTTGTCTCGGCTATAGTAAATATACATCTTCCCCATTATTCGTGAATGTGCTTCTTTGCTGCTACATTCCAACCAAGCCAATGATCAGTCTGCTTTTCTCCTGTTTGCTAGTCTCTGCTATGTTCATTGATGCTTAACTGGGTTATGTGTTGACTTCTGCCTCTCGTCTGCTAAAAGTTAAACCTTTGTGAGGAAGATCACACACACAAGCCTGCAGCCTTCAGTGGAAAGAGCGGGTGCTCAGTAAACAGGATATTGTATGGATGAGTCAGTGAGGATGAGCGCCAGCACCACACAGAAACGTGACTAGTTGGACACTTGCTATGTTTAATAAGAAATATTTGCTGAACAAATAAATGAGCAAATGAACTAAAATAAGCAACCTCTACTTTTTCCAAGATATTTTACTGGAACCAGCAAGTTGTCTCAGTGGGTAAAGGTGTTTGCCACCAATACGGATGATCCCTGGAGCACACACAGTGAAAGGAACAAACCAACTCCCACAAGTAGTCTTCTGATCTACACACACACACACACACACACACACAGAGAGAGAGAGAGAGAGAGAGAGAGAGAGAGAGAGAGAGAGAGAGAGAGAGAAGATT